AATAGAAAGCAAAACATATTTTCTTACGACGATTTTACCCGTATTAATTATTAAAACTGGAAGTGAAAAATTGTTACGATGCACTAATCCTTTGAAAATGTGTGAAACATTTTGCTTCTGCGAGGATGTTTGGCCCGAGATTGATCTCGGATAACAAAACACTCGTTAAGCAAAATAGCTCAAATTAGAATGAAGTGCAGTGCATCCATAATTTTACAAAAATGAGTTGTTATTATTATCATCAATATTGTGTATCAATTGTTATTTTATAAATGATATTGCTGTAAGGGGAGTACACGCAAAATAATAATACGTTAAAAAATACGTTAATACACGCAAAATATCAATACGTTCATAATGGAGAGAAGCCCATTTATAAATATTTTATTTAAACGTCACTTGTCACTCAAAAGTCATAAATAATTATTGCAAAACAACACTGGTAACGGTACAAAAATTAGTGAATATATTGCATCCTCCAAAACTTGCATGTGGATCCTGAAGCTTGTAATAATAATGTTTCCTGAGTTAGCGTCTCTTAATTAAATAATTGAAGACATCTATTAACTTTCTCTTGAACTTCGGTAAAGGGATCAGTAGAATCATTAATTCATTGCATTCACAGAGTGTACTGACGTTTTAATTAAGCACTCGCCTTTTAAGATAATCAATCTACCTTTCTGTGCACGTACAATTAAATAGTTCATTTTAATCCATCAAATGAAGGGTTCAAAATTTGTCCTTATCACTTAATGCACTGAAGGAGGTCCTACAACAACGAATCAACTCTCTACGCCGAGCACATGGAGTTGGGGGTATCGTCTTCCGGACAATCGTCAGGACAAATTGCATTAGTACAAAATGACGTTTTTTCAGTGCAAAGATTTCTATAAGCATTTGACTTAACATTTTACATAAAATGATATTGATTTTTTGTAACGCACAATTTCTGTACGAAAAGAACGAAATTGAAACCAGCGTACGGTCTTTTGATTATAACTATACATCCAAAGTAGTGTCCTTATTTCTTCGCATCTTTCATTCTCAGCTTCTATGACGTATTTATTTATTTAATTGTGTATTTATCGTCAAAAACAGTAAGAATTTGTCCAGGGGACGTAGTCGTACAATTGAACTCAATTAATATCACAATGTTAAATACATATCTAATTTTCCCAACAGCAGCTTGCAAAAGAGAGCGCCCATTACGATTGACCTTCCTTGAGACCCAGACCTTGAAATCCACAGAATGTGAGGTAGTATGCTAAGAGTGTTTGTAGTATTTCCGACGGCGCTGTTGGTACATCGGCCGCACATGACGTCCAGATGATGCAACATTAAGCAATGCAATGGGGAATTACTCTTCTTTTACTGCGCCGACCAGAGCTGTTCATCCAACAAGGTCCGCTGGCCGATGTTGATAAAGCTGACTCATGCGCAGTTTCGTTTCAGGAGTTCTTCGGTAGCTTCTCTCAATGGCAGGCTATGATTAGCACCGTTGCATCACAGCTGCTTCGCATTTCCAGCTGGAAACGATATGACCGGAGGCTCTAAGCCTAGGTATGCCGTTCACTGGACGATGGGAGTTGAAGACGCCGATTCCACTGACCTACTGGCAACATTTCTAATTATATCTTGCTTGGTCAGTGTATTTATAGTATGGTGAAATGTCGAACGATATAACCTATTAAAAACACTAGACATCTGGTGGCTCAGTTTCAAGCTATGTGGAAATATCATTTAAAAACTTTTGTGCTATTCAATCAATTGCTGTATTATTTTATTTAATATCGTATAGTACAGTATCACAATAATCTTGGAGTTGTTTTGATTTTATGAGTGTTTATGTCAATTTTCGTGCGCTGATGTTCTACATTTTTATAGATTATTCAAATTTGTATCTGTACAAACACTTCATTCATATTTATACAACCAATTTCCCAACTTTGTGCGTTGTGTAGTTATTGGAGCTTTCTTAAGAATTCCAATGCGGTTGGTAATGTCTAAATATAGCAGAAAAATATTACCTCGCACACCAATAACAGATACGATTCATACTATCAAAGTTGTAAAAAACACACTACGTAACATTTTAAGAACTTGTTCAGTATTTTGACTTGTTTTCACCCCACTACTTATTTGGCTGCTATTTTTAGTATAATTTTTTTGTATCCTGCAGTTTTTTAAATCTTAATATCTGCTACTCTACAAGGCGTCATCATTACTTTAAATTTTTATTGTTTTTCTGATATGAGGTTCTTCTGGTGAGCATGTAATCATATTTGTGAGAGAGAATGTTTTTCTATGGAAGATTGAAACTGTGTGCATACGTAAAAGTTAGAGAGTATTCGTAAATTTGTGATATAATGGCATGGAAGGTCTCGACGATAACATTTGCTCCTTTTAAATCGATTCGTTTTGGCCTTCCACAAGAATATTTGACAAACTCACGTCAACCCAAGCAAAATATTGACTTATCTGGATTTGTCAGTAGCGATCTCGGAGACATCTCTTTATTTATTAATAAATTACTAACGTAAATTACTAAAATATTAATACATTAAATTACCACACAACTGAAGATATACGAGGAAGACATTTGTGTAAAATGTTAGTTTACGAAATTAAGGATGAAATGAGATACAATTGTTAGTGACGTGTGTTTCTCCACGAGGAGCGTGTTTATGTGTAATATGAGCAGCAGGCAATTTCGCGTTTCTTGAATTCTCCTTGGTTAATTGGATTGTCACAAATTCCTCATTAAACTTTCAATTTAATTCGATGTTCTAGCATACCCGTGCAAAAATGTTTGCCAGGGCAAATCCGGGAACCTCATTCTCCCACATCCATATGAGAAGAAAAGAAAACATATTACCCTTACAAGGGGTGGGGTACCCGGCAGATGGAGTTCCCAAAAATGAAATAGAAGGCTATAATTCTTCTCGTTTTGTCATTGTCTATTTATATCTCAAGACCTTCGGGTAAAAAGACGAGATTTTAACCGAGGAATCACCGTTTTCCAGTTATACCCAATAAATTTGTGGGGAAACAGGCTTTTAAGCGGACTATGTGGTGCATATGGACTTTGTTCCTCCCTGATTTAGATGTGTTTTCGTCAACCTGCTGCTATTAAAAAAACGAAAATGTAAATTCATCACTTCGTGAAATTATTTTTCTTGAAACATCTATTTTTTTAAAAATTGGTTGGTTGTGAGTGTCGCTGGAGGAATCTAGATACTACAGAAATAATATGGATAGTAATTTATTTCATTAGAGTTATTTTAGATAGATAGATAGATTTATTAAAGTTCGCTTTGAGCTAATGCTCGGTGGCAAACATAATAACAATTAAAATT